CACCTCGACCGCGGTGCCAAGGGGTACTACTGTATATATATATATATATATATATATATATATATATATATATAGAGTAGTAGTATATATATATATATATATATATATATATATATATATATATATATATATATATATATATATAGCATAAGCAAGCAGCAGGTGCAGTATATATATATATATATATATATATATAAGGGTTATATATATATATAGTATATATAGTGTTAAGTGTTAAGCATAAGGCATATGTTGTTAAGCAGCATAAGGCAGCATACAAGGCATATATATATATATAGCATATGCTGCTGGCTACATACATGGCTGCTGCTGCTGGGCTGGTTGTTAAAGGTTGTTGTTACATGCTGCTGCTGCTGTTGTTACATGTTGCTGCCAAGGCTGCTACATACAGGCTGCTGGCTGCTGCTGTTGCTATATATATATATATATATAAGTATATATATATAGTATATAGTAGTAGTGGTATGGCAGGTATAAGGCAGCAGGCAGCAGGCAGTATATATATGTGCAGCAGCAGCAGCATATATATATATATATGCAGTATAGTAGTAGTAGTGGAGTATATATATAAGGCATAGCAGCAGGTAGGCAGGTATATATATAGTTGTTGGTTGCTGGTTAAGGCATAGCATATATGGCTGGTTTATGTACATTTAGGAGAATGCTAGGAGTGTTTTTGACTATGCTTTTTGGCTTTACTGCGGCGTACTTTTCTGTGAGCTGGAACCACTACTCCAATATTATTGAAATAAGGGGATTCAGTTAACGAAATTTTCGTTTAACTAAATCCACTCTGTGGAATCTTATTAGGTTCGCTAACCTAGGACACACACACACATATATATATATATATACAGTGGCCCTCGTTAACTTAACGCCTCGGGTTAACTAAATTTCGTTAACTTAACTGCCTCCCATAAGACTTCTTAAATTCGTTAACGAACAAAAAATTCAAGTTAACTAATTTTTACAAACCCACTCCTCAACATGTTTCGCTTGCACTGGCCAGTCAACCAGCTTTTAGTGGTATTAGTCCACCAATAAGCATTAATCGGTTCTAGGGCTTAAATTCCTTAATATTTTAGTAAATATCAAGAAATTCTATACTCTTCAATAATTTTAAAAGTTTACTATTCAATTTTTGTCATTTTAACAATTATTAACATAATTGAAGGTAAAGTGGCTAGTTTAATGAGCGGCATCCAGCCTCTTAACACAGCAAACAGGCGCTAGTCTCTCTCTGTTTTCACTGGAGGTACTTCATCTGCTTGAGACTCTTCTTCAACTAAACGCTTTTTTTCTGTGTTTCCAAGCAAATTATTGGTCATTTTGAAATATATTTACATATTGACATATGATGCAGTGCAGTTGATTTAAAGAAAAATAATCTTGAATTACACCAAGAGAACTAAAATTTTATGGGTGAAATGGGTGCCATGGGGTGACTTCTCTCTTCCACCCCAATGCCTTCTTTCTTCCTTCTCCTCCACCCCCATTCTAATTCCCATCACTATCATCATCATCATCCAGGAGCCTTCTACATACACACCCCTCAAAGTAAGTGAACTTTTTTACCATTTTTGTTGAATTTAGGCAATTTTCTTTTCAGTGAGCTGGAACCACTACCCAAAACCCACTGGAAACAATGGTTTCGCTAACGGATTTTTCAGCTAACTAACAACCTGCTGAACGGATTGTGTTCAACCGAGGACCACTGTATTCAGAAATTTTCATGTGATATTCCTTAGCCCATCTCGAATAAACAAACACTCATAAATCAACACAACCAAAAATTAAGGGATGCAAATGGTCTGTTTACTAATGACCAGCTGATGTGAGAGGGTGGTCGTGCTGGTACTACACTCCACCATCCGCCTGACTCATCTAGTACTCACTTTCCTCTCAACTCATTTTTAATTACTTTATGCTCTCAAAAAATAGATTTCACCAACTTTAGTTAGGCAATTCATCCTCTGAAGATGCAGAGCCCAATCCAGACCTCAGCGCTCATCATCCACATCAATACTACCTAGTGTGGCTGTGGACGATCTGACACTCGGAAATACCATTTCTCGCTGCAGTGCTTCCAGCACCTTGTTTTTCTGCTCCAGTGTATTTGCTGTTTTGTTTCTTGCCTTGGGTAGTTAATGATGTAGTGGCTGGCCTCTTGGACATATGGCAATGTGGTGGATGCACGGTAGAAGGAGATAGTGTCACACAATGTGTTCTTTTCACTTGGAGTGTCAGTGCAGAACTGAGGATGCATGAGGGTGTGAGAGGGTGGCGGCAGCCGCAGTAACGCGTGCCTATAGAGGTGCGCGCTCTGGTGGGGAAACATTAGGGCTGAATTTAAAATAGGACACGCTAGATTGACTGGCAAAATAGGAAAAGATTTGCTTAAAATTAAAATATTGTTCCACTGTGGTGTCGCTTAAATCAATAATCTTAAATTGAATCGCTTAAATCGCGACGCTCTCTACTGTATATTGATAAATAATACTTTCATACATATTTGAAATACATATGAATGTTAAGATAAATAATCAAATACTATAAATGCTCTCACCATTTTAGTGTGATTCCTGCCCCTGCTTTCTCTTCCTTAAGCTAGCCGCTGTTATGTCAGGAGCATATCTGATACCTTAGTTACAATTAACACCCCTCGAGGATTAGTTGTAAGTCGGCTATGATGAGAATCGAGGATATTCTTCATGTGTGTGAAAATATCTGGTCATATAGATATGCATATCCAAAGGCTGAAAGCAGTGTGAAGGCAACCTTTATTCAATGCTAATCAAATTTCTCTGGTGTGGATGCCCAACAGCTTAGGGTTGGAGGCCCTACATTACCCACAGTCAAGCTAAGTGATTTACGAAGTTCTGTGAACTTTACCCCCATAATAAGATTTAAAATCGATCAGCTGCATTTCCAGGTCCCCACTTCCATCCATTCAATAAAGTCCAAGTCACTCTCCTGATTTAATTAAAAGCGAAAACATTGGGCCAATGTGCTGGAAAACTTGAAATCTGACAGAGATCTCTGACTTCAGTTCTTGCATGTACACTGCAATCTCTGTAACGTTCACAAGATGATGTGCTGAATACCCCTTCAGGTGCTTGAAGTAGCAGAAAGTTGTAGTTTCAATATCCACCAAGTAAACTGCCAGCCTTGCAAACAAAAGCCTTCCAAGTGTCATACAGAACCAAAAATTTGTCCTGCAGGAGAAGATTAAGGTCACCGAGGTGTTTGGTGATGTCATATTCCAGTTCGGGGTATTTTTGTCCCTTTTCTTTCAGAAAGATCCTGATTTCATCAAAGCATTCCATGGACCGTTCTAAAACCTTCCCCCCACTTAACTACCTTAACACTTGAGTAAAGGGGTATGTCTCCATATACACTATTCATCTCATCAAGAAAAAAATGGAATTGTTTGTGTGTAAGAGCAGATTGTTCAACCAAAAAATTCAAAATTTTTGTTACAGTGGCCATTACTTTATTGAGATCAGTCTGAAATTCTGGCGCACTGATTTTCATGATGAATAATGCAGTGTAACTTCAGGATGGGGTGCCTGATTTTATCCTCAATTAGCTAGGCAAATCCCCTGTGTTTTCCCACCATAGCAAGAGCGCCATTCATTGTAACTGCAAATACTTTTTTTTAATATCAACCCCTCTCTCCTCAAAATGATCAATAAACGTTTTAACAATGTCATCTCCCTTGGTAGTACCACACATAGGTCTTAGGCAGCACAGCTCCTCGTGTACCTCTGTGTCAATGTACCTGGCGACAATAGCCAAACGTGGTATGTCATTTATATCAACACTCTCATCAACAGCAATACTGAACACAGTTGCATTTGTTAATGGAACTCTTTGGTGTTCTCTTATATTTGCAGTCATGTCTGATATGCGCTTCTCTACAGTCGTGGCTGTAACAGGCACGTCTTTAATCCATGAGATGATCGTGTGTTTATTTGTTAAAACACTAAATAAAACTTGAGAGCTGTTGAGAAAGGCCTCCTTTGTATAATACCCATCAATAAATGGTTTTCCATGTTTAGCAATACACAGAGAAACTTTGTAGTTGGCCTCAGTTGCATGATGTTTGTTTGCACTCAGATTCTTCATAACGCTGCTTTGTTTTTCATAGCAGAATACTGCCTTCTTAATTGCTTCAGCCTTGTCTGCATTGTCTTTAAATATCTTAAATATCTTCTCATGCTTCGTTTCACAATGTCTCTTTACACTTAATGTCCGGCAAACAACATTATCGCAACACAGAGCACACACAGCTCCACCATTCTTTAGAATAAATCCAAAGTCTTTTGTCCAAAAGGGTTGAAACAATCGAACGTCTTATTTGGCTTTCTTGGCAGCTGCCATTGTGGCTACTTAATTATGAGTAGCTTCCGTCACTGCGGCTTAAAGTACACTGACCGTGCCTGACGGTCCAAGTAACCAGTGTTACCACCTAGAAATAGAAACTCCCGCAAATAAAAAATCTGGTAGATTGAATACTAATAGAAAGATGATTGTGTAATTTCAACAAAAGTGATGTAAATACAGTACATATTCAGAATGATAAAACATATAATTATACTCCAATTTCTTATATATAGGAAATAACAACACTGGTTCTGATGCGACACATGGCTACAGCTGAGCGGAAGGGTACTGGACGCGTGAGTTCTAGCCCAAGCTCATGTCACAGTTTGTTTAGTTGAAATGGCGCTATTATTTTTGGATTTTGTAATGTTTTTAAAATCACTTGGCGTGCCATGGTCAACCCTCTTGCGTGACAACTTTGGTACGCGTGCCAGGGGTTGCCAACCCCTGCCGCATAAGGGTTAAGAAACTTCCATCTCCAGATATTCCAAGCAGGTTCCCCCTCAAGACCCTGTTACTATATAAGACTTTGATCTTGAGTTAGTATAAATTTATTTTCATTTCCAGGAGTATCAGGGTTAAATGGAAGAATATTGAAGCATAGGTAGAGTTTATTGCTATGCTACAGGCAAAGTGCAGGTGATCAATACACTCGTAACCAACACTCTCTACATATTCTAAAATTTCAAATAATAAATGTGTACAACTTGGGAAATTAGTCTTTCTACAATTCTTTTTTATACAATTTTAGCATCCAGATTTTAACAACTTTACAGTGTGATAATACAGAAAGGCATGCGTCAATGTACTATCATGATCACGAAGTTAGTACTAGGTATTAAAGTAGTAAGTATGAGCATGAAGATTTTTGTCTCATATACAGTATAGGTAAAGTACACTGAATGTAACTAAGAGACTTTTTTTTAATATACGATCATATTTGCTACAAAGTGTACAATCAATTTATATACAGTGTAAGAAACAAACATGTTTCCATGGTATGTTATGCATAAATGTGACTCTTTCACAGCTACTCGTGATCATGATAATTTTTAATGCTTCACTATGAAGCAAGGAACTAACCCATTGAGATTTTAAAATACTTGTGCATACTTTACAAAGTTCAACTCTAAAGTGAATGTATTACAGTTATTTAAAAATTATACAATGCCATTAGAAATGTTGTTAGTACAGTACATCACTTTTAAACAAAGGTTAATATTTAAACACTTAAAACATTCAGTACGTACAACAATAATCAGAATATGTTCCACTCAAACACAATGTAGCACGACAGTCCAATGAGTAGTTTTTGATGCATTCCTATTTGTCGCTCTTTGTTTCTCTACATCAACCTTCCTTTGTTGGGGAAGGGAGAGAACTTTTGCTAACTGTTCATGAGATCAGACATGTGAGTCATACTGGGCCAGGACATAAAAAAATTAACACCAGAAAACTTACCATATCAAAATGGTAGGATAATGTTCTTACAAAAGATTAATTTATTTTCTTTACATTTGTAATTATGACCAAACAGACTAATATTTAAAGTTTTAATATGATATTTAATGGCATGAGAAAGAAATTAAAATTTTCCATTCTATGATTAAATTCATAGAAGTGAAAAAGTGAAAAGAGGTGACCCCCAGCCCAATCTGAAGTATTCTATACCATTTGCCTTCTGTACAAACTCATATCTACAAACATATATTTTTAACTCCATACCCAAGTCTGTTTCTTGAAAATTTACTTTTTAAATGTCTGCTCTGCAACATATAACTACCTTATATTATTTAAATTAAATCTTGAATTTGCATACAACATTTGGCACTTGCAACAATGCATATACAGCTGAGTGGTTGAGTAACAAAATAAAGACTATATACATCAAGAACAACATACAACTATCACAGTTCAGTGCTAATTTCATCCGCAGCTTCACCGTTCAATTTTCCTTTTGCATCACCTTTGTAATCACCCTTCAGGTGGTTATCTTCCAACTTGCCATTCACTGTAACATTAAGGCCATTGCCCTTACTGTTCCTCAGTAGTGAGCTATCAACTTTAAAAGTCACATTCTTATTGTTCTTGCTTTCTACTTCAAAACAGCTATTAATGGAGCCATTACGGTGGTCTTTAGTATGACCATTAATAAAGCCATTGACATGACCATTAGTAAAGGTCTTAAGATGTCCAGTACCTTTACCACCAGTCAGAGTATTAACATGTTCATGCACACTTCCAGTAATATAATCTGTCTTGTAAATGTTTGCATCTCCACCGGTGAAGTTGCTCATTGAATTTTTATTGTTACCATTTATCTTACTGTTGATATGAATAAACTCATCAGACAGAGGTGCCAACCCCTTAGATTTTGGGGAATAACTATTCATTGCAAGACAAGTCTTACTGTTGCTCTTGCCATTCATGTAGATGCCACTGATGGAGCCATTCTTCTTCCCCAATCCATTTACTTTCCCGTTAACTGCAACGTTCATGTGGTCATAACTTCCATTATGGTAGCCATTAGTATCACTCACTACCGCTGTTGATGCCTGTCAAAAGAGATCATCAAATACATATACTGTATATACTTATATAATATACTGTACAGTATTCACATCTGTGTGTACTGAAATCTCCATTCACTAGTACTATACCTGTACAGTACTGTATTAAATTGTTATTACAGTATTAGTGCCATTTGATAAGTTCTTAAATTTGGTATTATCTGCATTATTATTAAAGCTTAAATAATGAATATTTAAGGGATGAGCACTAGAAATAAATTGATAAGTACAAGCACAAATATTAACAGCAAATGTTAAATTAATTGCTTAATAGCATTGTTAGCTTTAGAAAATGAGAAAAAGTTTTCATACTACAGCTAAATCATGATCATATTAACTACTGTATTCAAAGAAAAGATTAATGAAAAATTATTAGACCAACCCAAAGTGTGGTAAATCACAAAATATAATCTGAGTCAACTATCCATTAATAGTGCATTATACTTCTACAGTTTATTAATACTGTATGATACAATTATCGAGTTAACTTTCATTACAAGAGAATGGTCTTATTATTTCATGTCTAGTCACTAAATTCAAATTATGAGCAGTAGGTAACATGATACACAGCAGTGGCACAAAGACTGTGGTTCTGATACATATTTCAAATAAATTATGACATGTCTTAAAAATCAAATTTCATTGACATAAGGATGTGTGAATGGGACTGACTAACTCAAACAGCCATTTTCTTAGTCATTCATAAGTTAGGGGAATGCATTTAGGAGCTAGCTCCTCAAATATGAATGGGTGAGATAGGTCTCACATATACTTTTAAGAAACCCATTTAAGTGTGGGGAGTTTGCAATATACTGTACTACAGTATATTAATTTTAAACTAAAAAAAGGATACTGTACATACACTGTATGCTGCAAATTCTTATCTTCAAGTAAAATATTTTAAGGGTTCATATCACAAAACCTCACTTGGCATTGCACATAATCCTTTGGCTGTTTCACTGAATTGTAGAAAATTGATAACTCTATATATCTGTGTTAGTTTACCTTGAGCATGAATGAATTTGTATGTGTGAGTGTACAAATGTGCAACTGGATTTAATGTGAGTGTAAAGTGACTTAACATTGTACAAGATTCAAAAGTGTACGGTAAATTATTTGATGTTTTTAGGAATTAATCAAAGTGAAGGAATATGTTAATGTGAGTGTGCATATGAGCCACACTCCTCAGGGTGTATAAGTGAATGTTGTGAAAATGACTGTGGGTGTGCATGTAAGTCAGTAAAAGTGAGTAAGTTTGTTAGTGTATATGTGTATGTCATGTGCAATACTGTATTGTATAAATGCACATCATTATTACATTACACAGCCTCTACTATATCAATTACTGAATTCCTTCCGTCATTAAATTTTTTTACACAAATAATAAACTCGTATAATATTGTAATGTATGTTATTTGTAAAACCAATTTGGAACTATGACTCTCTATTAATAATAATTGTTGTTTAATACAACTGTTAATAAACTTTTGAAAAAACATTTAACAATTGTATGCATGCAAAGAAGATTCCTTGAATCTCTTGCAACTGCAAAAATTCGTCTGTACAATTACAATTAAAAACAAAACTAATTTACATTACAAACATGCACAAGAAGGATGTCTGAATGAGTGAAATCATGCAAAAATGATTTTTATGCAGCATGCACATCACTTATATGACCAAAATATGCACATTACAGTAATGATGGTCTATTTAGTCTTTCATACCAGTCTCTTGTCTACAGTCCCGGGTCTAAAGTCAACTTACAAGGGTAGGTTAGATTCAACTGTTGTGCCAATCGGCATGAACAGCCATTTAATACTGTTAGAAATGAAATAACAAAAACTTGTATCAATAAATCATGTGGTAAGAATTTCATCCACGATTAAAAGTGAAGGACCACTTCCAATCTCGTGCAAAACCATGGTGCATTATAGTACATGTTAATACACCTACTTAACTACATGTATTAGAAAAAACAGATTTGTTTTGACCAAGAGGTAAAAGCGACACTTAAAAAATTATTATTTCAGATTAATTTTCAATAGATTACTCATTATTTTTAATTTCAATAACATATCCATGAAAAACAAATATGCTCTCCTAACACAATGTACAGTTTTAATTATTATACAGGTGTTATTAAAGCTCATGTAACAAGAAAGAGGTGCTACTGCTGACAAATGATACTGTGATCCTCTTAAACATCTGGCCAATGCAGTTAATATATTTACTGTTATTTGTCACAGATCTCTCATATTTGCTTGCCAGTGAAGAAAGTTATTGGTTAGTGACAATATCAGAGCCTGCAAGATTGAGAATGTTTATGAATGCAAGCATGTCTACAGATTTAACTGCTCTGGGAGCACCAGGGACCAGGATGAATTTGTCCAAGCAACATCCTTCCTACCCTGATACTTACTGAAGGGCACTTTGTATGAGGGGCCCGAGGATGAGCTCCAAGCTGCCCGCACTGCCCCTCCGCGCATGCCCGCCCACACCCCCGATGTGCTGTGAACAATAACACTTCCCTCAATCACCGCCCAATGCCCATGCCCGCCCACAGCTATTTGCTTACCTTATCTGAAGCAACCATATTTCATCTGGGAGACTCAATTATTAAAGGTGAGGAAGCTAGTGCAAATGTTGACTATTTCTGCTCCAGGATAGAAACACAGTAAAATCTCCATTAGCTGGAATCCCTCAGACCCAGAACTCTCTGATAGCCGGAATTGAAATTTTCTCAGAAAATCGTTCCCAAAGCCGGAATTTTCCAAAAGAATTCCGGCTTTGGGAACGATTTTCTGAGGGGCACATTTTCCAGAAAATTCCGAGAAAATTTTCCCGGCACCTGGAAAATTCTGAAAAATTCCGGGAATGGGTATTTTTTTCAGGGTTTGAGAGATGAAAATCAGGCGCATTTTCTAGAAATTCCGAGAAAAAATTTCCGTTTCCTGGAAAATTCCAGGGATGAGGTATATATTTCCGGGTTCGAGAGATGATGAAATGAACAATTTCTGGAACTTCCAAGAACATTTTTCCGTTACCCGGGAAATTCCGGGGATGAGGGATTTTTTTCCGTTCTGGATTCGAGAGATGATGTAATGGGCAATTTCTGGAACTTCCGAGAAAATTTTTCCATTACCTGGAAAATTACGGAAAATTACGGGGATGAGGATTTTTTTTTCCGGCTTTGAGAGAGTCATCTCGTTACCCGGAAATCTCTCATTCCCGGAAGTGCTCTGCACCAATTGTTCCGGCTAACAGAGATATCACTGCAAATTACACCTAGAACAATCTTATTGATGATCTAAGGTAAACAATTCAGTGCTGGAACAGTAAAAGTACATTTTTTTCTTCTAGGTACCTTTTGTATCATGACTCCAGTTACATAAACACATAACCGAGACACTGATATGCAAGGAACATGCAGGTGCTGTGGGTAAAGCTAGAGTGGAGTGCACGAGAGTAAGGGTGATTGCAATGCTGTGGGCAAGTGGCTGGGAGTGGGGCACAGGATATTGACAGGAAGCAGCTGTAGGAGGTATGTCAATGGTCACACAAGTCAAGTATTTACATCGTCTATGGCCAAGTATGCTGGAGCCGGCTATGCCAGATCTTTTATCTGTGAAATGGCATTCCTGAAGTCAGTGAAGCATTCCAAATACTGACTTGGCAAATCATGCAGTACAAGTTTGCTATAGCCTCTTGGGAATCCTCAAATTGTACAGTACAGTATATAGATTTTACTGCAATCGTGATCTTGTTACTGAAATACCTTAGGGAAAATGTGTTAAAATTTGGTATACTGTATTACAGTACTGTACTGTGTTTAGAAAAAGGGGTAAATATGGATTATGCAATTAAACTAAAATTATTAAAGTTTCCTTTGCCATACAAACAAAGAAGGGGCTTAAAGGGGTTTGTTAATACTTGTTATTGTTACTTATAGATTATAATGAACAGCTGCTCCATGTCTTTTCCTGGCCATTATTTTCACAGGCATATGAGATATAAAATATTAATAATATAATAAGGCAGTCATGACGTGTCAACCTGTCAAATGTTCAAATTGCACAATAGGATGAACTGTCTTGAGACCTTGAAAATGATTGTTTCATTTAATTAGACTGATATTTTCTCATCATTCTTCATTGAATATCAGCAAGGCCTTGAGCTGTCGTCTATGAAATGTGTTTCTTGTGTAGATCACAATCTCAAGACTCTCGATGGACAACAATCACAAAAAGTACCTTCTCATCTAAAGTGATGTAATAAATTACCATTAAAGTGTATAATAATACTCGAGGGAAGGTATCAATATTCAGTATTCAATAATTTCTATGAAAATTATCACGCAATTACAGTTTAGTGTATGAATGCGAGATGCAAGGATTATGACCTCACTGAGATACTAGTTCTGAGAAAGCCTGAGAAAAGTCAATGGAAAGAAGAGTAAAATGCAGGAAATACATTTGGTTTAGATTAGAGTAAACCTCGTAGCTATGTGCAGGAGTACAGTATACTGGTGCAATTTGATAAGAACATTACAGAGCATAAAAACAGAAAAAAGAGCATAAAGTGTCAGTTTGTCATGTTTGTTGATAAAATCAGAGAAATGATCACTGATCATACTGCAATGCATGTTATGCTAAAATATTGGGTGGTATTAGAAAAGTATTAGAAAAGGGCTTTGTGTATTGAACATTGTGGATGTAGGAATGTTAGCCACATGACAGCTGATAGTACCAATTATTCAAGAAGTGTAATATGCAAGTGCTTATCTACTGGAGACTCTTACTGAAATTATGAAATAATAAGCAAACTGATGCTGGCACAAGATGTACATATAGGAGGTGCTGATGCATGTTCTTTTGGTGAAGGCTGTTGTTCATGTAAGGCATGCTTCACCCAACTGATGCTGGTGCTGAGTTTGGTGTCATGTTGCTTGAGTAAAATGTAAATTATTGTTGCTACATTGAAAGATGAAGTAATTCCTGCAGGATAACTTAAGAGAAAGTGCATCATGTGGTACTGTAGTTAGCAAGGAGGCAGAAGTAGTGTGCGAGTAGTAATGTACTTACTTGATTACCCTCTGATCCTTGACCCTTGATGCTGCGCCCTAGCGAATTAGACCACTCTGCCTCCTCCCTGTATGCATCCCAGTTATACACCTTCCAGTGCAGGGCAGAGTGGGCTAGGTTAGTCCCGTTTGTTGTCTGGATGCCATGACTCATTTCTGTTGCTTTACTGGAGGATTGGGGTTTGCTAGAAGCCCTCTGACCCAGGTTAGAATGGTTAGTTTGCGAGGCGGTAGTACGTAAGATATTGGTCTGAGAACCAGTTGTTCTCATATGAGGTCGATTGCTTGAAGGCCGGGGCAAAGATGAGTTTCCACAACCCGTAACAGAAGAGGCAGAAGGAGCAGGTGAGGAACTCATAGATGAGGAAAAAGGAGGAAGTCCAACAGAATTTGGATTGGAGTTAGATCTTGGTTTCGGAGGAGCTGATGTGTATCCAGATCTCTGTAAAGGGTTAGTATCATTTTTACTGCCTGACATGGAAGGGCCGTAAGACTGAACTATATGTGTGGAAGAATCATTACTATGAACAGAAGATATAATGGAGCTTCGTGGGAGAGGAACTGGTTGGTTACTGGAAGGTTGTGAAGATGATGTTACACTGTCAAGGTCATGATAGTGAATGAGAATGTTAGTGGAATGTTGAGTCATGGGCTCAAGGCTTGGGTAAAGGCTATCATGTTGTCCAGACTTTTTTTGGTCACAATGGGAGCTGCAGTTGTTATAATAAGGCTCAGGACTGTCACATATGGTCGAGTTGTCATAGCTGTTATGGTCGAAACTAAAGTTCTCATAGCTATGGTGGTCGTAGTTTTTCTGATCGTCAGGGTCTGGGCTGTTGGATGCTGATGACAGCTGGTGGTGGTGGTTATGGGATGTGTCTTTGTTGCAATTGTGTTGGGAGCCTCTGGTCAGAGTTGAGTCAGCTGAGATACTCACGCTGGAGCTCCCAACGCTGATTCCAGAGGTGACTGATGACTGTGGACTCGGCTGTGGTCTATGCAAGAAGAAACATTATTACAACAAAATCTGAACTAAATATACATCTTGCTCTCTGCCTAAGTTGACTTTACTAACATTCTATTATTTTTAATATTTCATAATGTGTTACCAATAACAAATAGAAATGAAGATTTAGAGGCAGCATGTGCATTTGTCATATACAGTACAATAAATTTGAGCTATAAAATGATAAAATTACTCAATCAATTACTGTAGTTGAATGTATTGCAGATGCAACCAATAATTCTGTAGTCAAATAACACAACTTATTAAGATGGTGTGCAATAAAACAAAGTTGCTCTTACTTTAAAACAGCTGTGAAATGAGATCCTCTTTCATTTGTGCCATTCTTCAAGATAGCAGCTGAAGTAGGTACAAAACCATTCGCTGCCACAAAACCTCCGGTCGTTTCTTCCATGAAGGCCGAGGAGTCAGGGCTAGATGCTTCATGACCAAGTGTTGGGGAGGATCCATTGGCACTGTTGGTCACTAAAGCCTTCACACTTGGACCATTCACCATCACTGGTTTGTGGGATGTGCTGCTTGTAAAGCTAATGAAAGAAAACCTAATAAATAATTTGTTACCAATGATAAAATTTCAGGTATAGTCCTGCATTTATTTTGTCTACTGTATTTGTATATCTTTTTACACTGCAGGATGTATAAAAAATTTTCCATAAAATAGTGGTCACCTTAACTGTATATACTGAATAATCTAAGCTGATATATACATACAGTACAGTCAACCCTCGCTTTACGCGGTCCCACATTCCGCGTTTCCACGTTTACGCGGTACCCTGCCGAAACAGGAATGCTCACATTCCGCGGTGCGTGTACCCCTTTACGCGGAGAGCGGCTGGCGAGCCGCGCCATTTTTGGATCCAAACCTCCCGCCATCCTCCCGCCCTCTCCCGCCATCTGCCATGTTGTGTAAGCGGCGCGAGCATGGTGCGCACAAGGTCGCCCAGTCATCAAAACATTACCGAGTTCTTCACCCGCCACCCACCACAGCCGGCCCAAGTCAGTGATAGTGATAATTATAGTGAGGATATGGACTTATATGGACTTTGAGGGGTTTGACAAAGAGGCCCTGCAAGCCTCTGTGGTGGATAGTGATACAATTGATACAAGTGATACAGGTGAGGGCCAATAATCTGCCCTCTGCCTCGGAACCAACCACCCATCCCCGTGTGCCCAGCCATCTTTTCTACTAATGTAAGCATTAAAAAACCTAATATTATTGATATTTCTCTTAATTATTAATTGTGTGTGCATACCATCATAAAGTTAAGATAATATTTTTACTACAACATAGTTGTGTGTCGTCAAAAAGTGGAGTTTGGGGGTCGGCCCGGTCTCTATTTCAATTAATCCCATATGTTATGTTGTTCACTTTACGCGTTTCTCACTTTCCGCAGTACCCTGTGGGTTGAATTAACCGCGTAAAGTGAGGGTTGACTGTACTTCCTCTTCTTATCACATGTTGGTATTCTTCAAGGATAAGTATTATAGCTTAGTTCCAAAAATGAACACAACAATAACCTGTGTACTCAACACACACACACACACACACTCTGGTTAAAATTACCCAACTGATCTTGTCTACCATCAGGTATTAACTGAGTTTTTAACCCCAGAGCAAGGGATATAGTGTCTCATGAGTGTATAGTAGATTAAAATGTTTTGATGATTTTTAATCCTGCGATTATATTCCCTCATCAGAAGAATAATGACCATGAGTTACCATCACCAGAGGGTTAAGTGCACATGTATACGGATATGCATTCAGTAAATTTTCAATATATATGGCACAAAATGACTGGATTTTATATGCAACACTCTTCAGTGTACAGCCACTCCAAGCAATAAGTCTTCATCCTCATTCCTACATTACTTTACCATATGTGTATAGAAATCACTATCTTTTAATGGCCTTGACAGACATAAAACTAACCCATAACTTGTACACGATGTGCTGGTAGAGGTAGACGCAGAAGTCTTGGTCATTCCAGTATTTGTGCTTGAGTCATTGTGGCTTCTGAACACTCCTGGAGAGTCCCCACTTGAACCTCTACTACTGTTTCCTCCTGAAGAAAGGCCTTCAGATGACTTTACACGTGAGACAGCAACTGTAGGCGCCTGAACGGACCTGTGATATGAGTAAGAGCTTAGGCCTGTGTTTAAACACTTGTTTAAGGATATGCACCAATAACTGATTTCCACCTTTAAGCCATAAAGGTGTTTTAATTGTTCATTGTATTACAGTATTTAAAAAACCTTTTGTTACTAAATATATTTACAATTTTAAAAAGTTAACAGTACGTAACAGAGAAATGATGAATCACTTGGCCAGTTAGAGCTGACCAGCAGAGAAGTGGATACCAATGTATTTGTCAAACTTCTATCAAGTGTAACTGATTGCAGAAATACTGTATACTATATATACTGTATTTTTCTAAACCAATGGAAAATATTCTTAGAAATGAAATACATTATTACATCTATGCCTTTCATCTAGTTCAGTAGTATACAGTACTGAACTACAGCATACAAATACAGTATTCTATTCTGAACACATAATAATACTGTATAATTTTCCTTACACTCAAAGAATATGAAATATTCCATTGACATTCTTTCCTTCCAAAAGTAAAAGCTCATCATCTCCATATTTTTTATGTGATGAAGGCATAACAGCATTACTAAATTATGTTTGAAAATTGTTTAATTTTGTTTAGCTAATACAGTATAAACAATGATGCTTGCACCACTAAGGAATAACAACAAAGACAAAAATGTGGGTTGCCTCCACAAATTAACATGAGAAATAGGAAAAGATATAGAAGCAGCTAACATTAAATGCACAGTGTAAATGAAATACTATAGCATAAGCAAGTAAAGGCTATTAATAAATGCACATGAAATATTTCTACCTATTTTCTGTCACTTTCTACTCCTGTCTTGCATCCATACTACACTATTGCCTGCCTTTCCTGGATCTGCCACACTGGGCTTCAAAATAGCCCTTGACAAAATGACCAAGAACAATGGAGGGATCCTAAACAGGCCACTCGTCTCCTTCCCTTGGCATAGCCACTTCTAGTGGGTGGCCATTAGGTAAATAAGGAAAAGGTAAAACATGAAAAAGATAAAAATTCCTTACAGACAGAGATGTGGCCAGAATGAAGAACTAACACAGAAGGGAAAATTCCTTTTTCTTCTCTATTTGTGTTTCCAGGGGAGATCAATACCATTCACACTACATACTGTACTCTCTACTGAAGTTGTTATACTGTAATCTAATTTCTCCCTTCACTAAGTGTTATTCCTATGGTGAACCAATGTAAAAATTTGGGTAAAGTATGTATGGGACCAAAAACACAATGTCTAATACAGTATGCCTTCTTGAGCCTAAATTTAGGGATCCATTTGTGGAAATCCCTCTTTAGATTCCATCTTCATTTCTTACATCGCACGAACACCTCTACAATGTGGAACAATTAGCTCCCAATGAAAAATTTGTGGTCCCTTCAATTGTTTTCTTCATCCTTCTACTTTTTAATTGAAAATTTGAGTTAGAGCTGACACATTTTATTCACCTAGTAACCAAAACAGAATGAAAACCATATGTACAATGCCTCAATATATAGAGATTTACAAAGAAATTAAGAAATAATTTCAAGATTTTGATTCATTCCTAAACCAGGAAATATTAAAAAAAAAATTCTTGTCAATCCACATTATTCAGGTTATTTAAGCCTTGTTTATAGATAAAGAACTTATGAATCATGCTCACAAATGGGGAGATTGGTTGATGAAGATTATGGATCCACCTTCGAATTGTATACAGTAATGTACTGTATCTAAATATTATTTTGTGTGTTGGGGGGTAATAAGATTTTTCAATATACATGCAATAATAATAATAAAGTTCTTATCATGAAGATTCACATTGAATACCTAAGCCATTTGGGAAGATATCAAGTTTTTATGCAAAATCAATAAACCACTAATTTATTAATTCTCACCTGGATATCCTTGAGGGCAATGAAAACTATAAAATTTATCAAGACAATGAGGTTCTGTTAAAAGGTGTTTCACTATCTCTGGGTTAATCATACACACTTGGTTGTACCTTTGAAACACTTACAAATACTGTATAACATTTCATTACAATTGTTGTTTCTGTACACTTTTCTTTCAATTCATGTAATATTAAATTCGCTGTTTACTTCAATCACAGAATAATAACAAAGGTTACTGGATGAATAACTTTATAAGCAAGCATTTTCCAAAGAGACATTTGGCATCAAATTATCATTAATTGAATCCACACATTTTTTATTATTAGCACACCTGTCCCTTTACCTATTCACACTACTACACATCCTTCCACTCCTACTCACCCCTTCACACTATCCTACATACCCTGTCTTTCCTCACACCCTTACACTCATGTACACACCACTCTCACTACACCCTGTAAAATTACCCTATTCATAAACTGGGTAATTTCACAAATGGGGCATAACACATACAGTATATCCTTACACTTACACAACCCTCTCCTGTCCCACAATTCCACATATTCCTCTCTCTCTACGCATGCATGCACGCACGCATGCATACACACACACACTCTCGTTATCAACCAGTGTATTCACTCTCAGCCAATCTTACCTTTTTACACTGTTACCATGTTGAAATGCCCTGTAATATGACATTCTCTCCACCTTGTTATTATATATCATATTTATATCACTTATGTTACTTGAATATTATGTGTCAATTAAATGACCCATTCCCCAATTATGTAACTGTATATTTTCAGCCTTCCGGATGCCATGCTCTTTCAATGAACTGTTAATTATTATTATTATTATTATTATTACACCATTTCACGATCTCACACTTCTCTCATCTCTTACATATCCCTCTTTCTACTAAACTAAACATAGATACAGACCAATTCCTTCACTCACACACTCCTCTACCCTTAAATTACTTTTCTTCTACTTTACAATTAAATACATCCTCTGTCTCCCACACATCCTTCTCCTTCCCTCATTCTCCCACTGTAACACAACATTAATGCATCATGATCTGACATCTAGTTCAGTTTCTAAATACTTGGAAGTGCTCTAATCACTGACTGAGAAGCAGATCATGTGCACAAATGCGCAGCTAATGACACAAATTAGTGAGATTGATTAGGTAATGCCTACCAAATAAATATATGACAAAATTCTGAAAAATCATAATATGCACCGTACACAAATGTTGTGCATGAAAAATCTATACAGTATATACAGTATACATGTGCACTTGTATTAAAGCAACTAAAATGTCCAAAGTGAAACTACTGTACAACAAAATTCTGTAGTTATGACTACTTAGGTAGGAGACCACTCAATAATCCTGTAATAATATTTTTTTATTCATCACTTTACTCACATGTTCTACAAATACCTGGCAATCATATGTAAAACTCTAATTCTAAATACAGTATCTAATCATAAGTAAAAGTGTAATAATAATAATAATAATAATAATAATAATAATAATAATAATAAGTTGTACAATGTATTAATAATAATAAAGATGATAAAACTGTCATACAATAATAATACTAATACTGTAGTAAAATTAATAATAACAATATCATTAATAATAAGACCTGTAACAATAATAAAAACCAACTTCTTACAAAATATACAGTTATTTGAATCTATAATTCCTTACACTTTATAGTGAACACAGCACATTTACAAAAGAGGAAGAGGAAGAGGGCAAGGCCAGGCTAGTGGCTGTTATAACTTACATCTATAAGATCCAGAAGTATTTATCATGACTATTCTATGACATCATTGGAAGTAACTACTAAATGTTACTCAAGCTTTAAAATATAATTTTCTTCTTAGCTGTGGCATAATTGGTGAAGAAGAGGACCACCTGTATCATGGAAGCTATTCTCAAAGCTGTACCAATATCAGAGCATGTCTATTTATGTAGTATATTCATGATGCAAGTTCTGCCATATAAACACAGAATAAGTATTTTCAAACAAAGGTGATAGCAAGGATTGCGCTGTAAAAAAATGACTGTCCAGATATATGGAGCTGATCATAGGCATAAAATACATGTATACTATACATTTTCCCTAGTAGTAAGTAGCACAAAAAGAACTTCCAATTGTCATACTTATTTACCATAACAAAAATGAATGAAGAGACTTTATCTAAAGTAGAAAAGCTACACATAATGCAGGACATGATCACAAAACTATGCATGAATGTTTCTTTTTATCTTCATGATTTAGAAAATACTGTAGTGGGAACACAAGAGTTTCACTAAATGTAGAATAAAAAATTATTAAATATGTACTGTAAAAAGAAAATAATGAAATACCTGTACAGTACATAAAAAAATCCTCCCCTGAGTCTGTGTAAAAAAAACAACTCAACTCTAATAAAATCTCAGACAATCTATGAACTACTGTATGTATCACACTTTACACTGCAGGCACACATAACCTGGCCTGAGGGAACCTGTTTCTGTCAAGATGTATGTATATTCTGTTAATAGCAAAATTCTATAAAAGTATCAGGGATTGACCAAAAGATATAAAAGAGAAGGATGACCATCCCTGAGCTTATACAGAAAGTCCTCGTTTAATGTTGCCCCTGATAACATTGTTTCGTTATAACGTCGCTACTCTTTAGATACCAATAATTCAGACAACGTCCCGACAACTCAATATAACGTCATTTTTGCGTCGTCACGACTACTTTTTACGGCGCATTACCCTCTCTCATCTTGGCGCGCTACCTTGCACTCGCGGAACGTCACAGCGTCCCCAAGCGACAAAAGTCTTTGTTAGGCTTCCACAGCGTACGTGAGTGTTTAAGTGTTTTTGTTCTTAATACTGTAATGTAACTATTTGAAATGGCTTCCAAGCACCCATCAAGTGCTACTGATGCTAGTGTTGTGAAGAAGCAATGTAAGACCATTAGCCTTGTTACGAAAATGGAGGTTTTAAACCATTTTGAAAAAGGGGAACGTGGGGCAGACATAGCTGCTGCTCTAGGTCTAACCCCCACAACAGTGTGTACTATTCGGACCAACCTCTGCCCATCAGTGAGTCCGTACAATACAAATTTATTAAACTTTTTATATATACAGTACCCTATACTATTTTCTATAAAAATGCCATTGAATTTCTGTATATGTAATGTATTTCATGGGGCAAAGGGAGGCTCAGGAATGTAACTCCTGTATTTGATCTATTTCTTATGGGGAAAATTTATTCCGTTAATGTTGTTTCCGTTAATGTCCCGGTTTTCAGATACGGAACCACGGCGTTAAGCGAGGACTCACTGTACAATATTAAATAGAGAAACTTAAAGCCTGGCACCCTCTAAATTTATGTGAATGGCAAACTAATGGTGCATGTGACTTTGATAAAGAAACAATTAGTATCTTAAGCTGTTTAAAGTTATAACTATAAGACTACAATAATCAATATATTTATGGTCTTCAGTTACAGTAACAGAATTGTGCTATTTAAAATACAGTACTGTACTGTGCTGTATATATATCCTTACACACAAGATGATAAGCGTTTCTGGTCCCCATCCTTTCCTCCTCCCCAAAGATATAAAAAGAATAATATCACAAATGTAAACCATAAGCTTCACTGTTCTTACCATTGGATCCTTTCTCTAACTTTTCAAATTGAATGATAACCAAACATGCTGTTCTACGTGACAGCATATGTGATATAAAAAGGATTACAGTACAGTATATCATCAGTCATAAGTTTGTTACTCAAAAAACTGACCTGACATCTGTTGCCTGGTAAGTAAGTATGTGCACTTTCACCTTTTTGTTTTTTTTAAACAGTATTTTATTCTTATTTCTGAAGCCTGGACCAACCCTCTTCATACAAAATTAAAAATGCTTTACAAAATGTATTGATAATATAATCTATACATCTTTTACTTCGAACCACAATAACAAACACACAATTACATGGCCATCTCAATGTAAAGTGAGGAAGGGCTTTTTTTGCTATACAGTATTTTTTTTTTTACATCAGTGAAACCAGAATATAAAGTACTACAGTACAGTATTAAGTTCAGTCATGTTTGTCGTCCTCACCGTTTACCATGCTCTTCTCTTATATTAATTATAATGAACCAAAATACAGCATACTATAGGTCTTACATTACCATTTATGTTTTAGAAAGTTGCAGACTTTTAGAATAACCTGCAAGAGAATATTATGATGGCACCGAGTGTGAGCTTATTTAGGATGAGACTTGACCAACACTGGTACATATTCAGGTACATTCAAGAGCCCATACATGCCCAATACTTGCCAACAGTGCATAACAGAGAATTGACCTACCAACTGGCTTGCGAGCTGACCAGTGGCAAAGAGGGTAGTAAGAAACTTTTTAGATTAGTTATTTAAGTATGTAAATGTACAATACAGTACTGTAAAAGCTTGTAAATATATTCTCTTTATTTAGCAATGTCTTCTAAAGAACAACACATGTATTACGGCACAAGTAAGAGAGAAAAATTAAAGCAATTGAAGGGAGAATCTGTGTTTGCTCTTGATTCCAGCCACCTTATATCACAACAAAAAAGCTTTCCACTAGTAAAAAAAATTATACAATATTATGTGAGTGGTACCTGGTTTTTGAATGGCCCAGGATCTATTAGAAGATTAAAAATAAAATAAAATAAAATTAAATAAAGTACTGTATTACTAGAAAGCAATCTGTACTGTAAGAGCTCACCGTACATGCAAAACAAACCTTTAAAAAACCTTTCTGCACATCTTCATTTAAAACATTGCTGTGTATGGTATGTGCCAAAACATTAGTGATAAGTGTTCAAAAAATATTCTACACTAACCACATTTCAGTGAATATGAGAAATGACACTGCATTGGCTAAATTATGTGTCAATTAAGAGTACAGTACAATAGTTTAAAACACTAGAATTGATTTGGGTCAAGTTTGTGGAAAAAGAAATTACTTGTTTAGCTGTTTGTCTTTCTATAGATTTGCGAATTATTTTCAAAGTTACCCGGTAGAGTATAAATAAATAGAAATATACAAAAGATTAAATTGTAAATGTATAAATACCTAGATAAATGAACTTTTTAAATACCTGCATATATTGTATATATATACAGTCTACAGTACATACTTGTAATGTAAAATGCAAATCCCCTGTGCACTGGTTTCGAGAAATTAAAAAATACCCATATACCTGTATATTGTAGTACAGTATATATATATAATAGCTGCAACATAATTTTCACCAGAAACTAATACTTGTACTGCTACATTAAGTAACCTTTAAAATAACTTAAAAAAATAATAATAATTTTGAATATCCTGTAATCTAATAGTTACAAAAATCAGTAAAATAATTTTAAAATTCTCTAAATTTATCTGCACACACACACACACACACACACAAAATAAAATAAAGTTAGAAAATCTGGACTAAAACATAATTTAATTAGTGCTACTCTTAGTTTGTGTGTCAGTTTGGTGAACAATGATATGGGTGTCTGGGAACCTAAGAAAAGTTGCATTATATAACTGATAATGGACTGAGTAAGGATCACACCTAGGAGATACCCGAGTACTGGCCCCAGGACAGGTTCAAGTACTAACACCCAGAAAAGAGAGGCAACAAACAGAAACCAGAATGAACTTTATATTGAAAGCCATTGCACACTATATTAACGAATAAGAGTGAACTGTACCATCATGAGTAAATCCCTCAGTGTCTTGCCCTTTAATACAGTACTACCATAGTTCAGAGGTTCATATGAAATCACCATCACAAGAAGAGGAAGTACAGTACAGTATTCCAAACACTTCATAGTTAATGATAAAGATGTGGCAAAGGACTAAAAGTAAGCTAGAAGAATAACTGGTAGATAAATATCCTGGATAACTCTACAATTGGATGAATCATTTATGACTTTCACTTCAAATTCATTTTCTAATTGAAGGATATAGTTATACCTAAGAGTTAGGAAACATGGCAGAGACTTGCTCTGATCTAATCATGGTGAAAATATCCAAAACTGCCTTTCATTGAATTTCAAAGCGAGATAATTTTGATAATTTCACATTCTACTTTTCAGTCACTTTACACTCTTCCTTTCACAGAGTTTTGGGATTGCTCTTAATTTCCATTACACACATTCTGCTAATTTACCTTCAAGATCATTAGATAAAATTAGATGTGTAAAGTGAGAAAGTTTTTCAACCATTAAAGAAGCTATTGTGTGTTCAATCCTTCACCACAGCTATTGTTCGCTCAGTTTCAACCATTCATCATATATACGATAAGTACTATACTGTACAGTACAGTACAGTACAGTACAGTACAGTACAGTACAGTACTGTATGTATTACTAGTATTTAATAGAGTGTGTTGTTAAACATACAGGTCGTGCATGAGGAGGATATACCTTGGCCCAGGAGGACGCAGGGTGCCATTCACCAGGCCTCCTCCATCTGGGGTTCTTGCACCAGTTACTTCACCTGAACTGTCCTGAGAATGGAGAGCAAAATGACTAATATGCTTTATGAATTCTTTATAAAATATTATTTTTCATGATTTTATTTTCAGCAAAAAATTACAGTGCATTACCTATACCATACTGATTATGGTGTCAATCAGCCATCACTTGTTTAACACTCACTGAGCCACTACCAAAAAAATTAGGGATACTGTGCTAGGTATATCACTTGATATTTCATACAACTAGTATTAAAACAGTGATTGGTACCCACCTTGTGATTGGCTTTGGGTAATGTATTGGTCTTGTTGGAGGGGGAGGGAGTGTACGGTGGGGGCGGAGATTCTCCATCAGCTGGGGGAGTGGCTTTACGGTCACTTGAGTTACTGATAAAATGAGTACAAGGTTAGGGCTTATCAGGTGCCTACATTATCTGGCTTATAATGTAAGGTGCCTACATACATTATCTTTAAAATCAGTTCAATTACTGTACAAAATGTAAATTTAATTCAGGTAACAGTATAATTACACTAATCTGAGAGAAGAGTTTTTTTTTTAAAAGTAGTACCATTCACATTTAAATTCTTTCTTTAAAAGCACATGTGGCCTATCCTAGCCCTAAATAAGACAGTGCTGTTTTACAAAAATAGAGGGAAACATCTTGGTCAGACCAGGCACAAATGTCTTTCAAGTATTGCACCTGCTAAGACACTATTTTTAAAATGAAGCTCAACACCACAAGGAGATCTTAAAGTGCACATTATTGAATATTACTAAATATTAAGACAGTAATGTGATTTGGCTTTAGATAAATGATTAAGTGTAAATTTTTTAATACTATACTATGAACCCAGAGTATAAGTCAATGGTGATTTATCTTCCTTGCCACAATTGGAAAACACAGGTAATTTAGATCTTTGATGTCTTATCCCGTCTGAGACTTTCCAACCACATCAGCCACAAATATCCTCCCACCATTAAGTATTACATGTTTTGATGCATGCAACAAGAACAATTGTTTAAAAATCCTTTCAAGTTGGTTTATCATACAAATGAATCAGTTGCCACTTGCTTGTAAAGCAAAACTAAAGTGTGAGAAGAATGACGTTACTATGGCATGCAAAAACAGGCAAAAAATAAACAGGAGAAAGCAGGCAAAGACAAAACAATACAAGCAGAAAAATAATTAATGTAAATAAAATAAAAAAGCAGTATTGTATCCATAAAATACGTATACAATATGGGATTTAAAGAGTTTCTGATGCACTGCCAAGTGGTATTGCATTGTGAATAGGACCTATAAATAAAAAAGGGAAATAAATCATCCCTTCATCACTTCTATAGTTGTGTTGTTATGGCTAATCCTAGCTAACTGTCTCAAAATGGAGAATTATAACATATTGTGAATATGTTGTAACAACATACCGGTACAGTTTGTGTGAATCCTAAGCAAATTATCTTGAGCTGTGTTCTTATCATTAACCTTATTGATCACCAGTCATTACTATTTTAGATTCATAAAACACTACAGATATCAGTGTAAACACCCACTTACCTTTTAGAGCGTCGCGGACTTTTGTGTCGTTTAGTCTTTGGGGAGGTATACTTTATCTTAATGGTCTTGGCAGTCTCTATCTTAGTGTAAGGTATCTCCCTCAACTCTGCCTCTGTTAAACCCTGTGTCTTCTGAAGGTCAAACTCCAAGTGACGTCGAAGTTCATCTGGCAGTCGAGTATTTTTGGCTTCAGAGGGAGACCGAGACCGAGACCTGGCGAGGGTGTAGCTCTTGTGTTATCTTGCATCCATGTACATTACTCATACTTTTTATGTAGTTAGGTACAGTATATATTATTTTTAAGCTTTTTTGTTAAACTCATACAATCCTCATGACAAAGGAAAAGGAAAGATTCAAGTATCGAAAGTAAGACGAGGAACAGGATTTTACATATCAGCCATACCTGTGTTTCCTATGTCGCTTTTTGTTGGAGTGTTGGTGGTGATGAGAGTCAGCCTCTGTGTCAATACCCGAGGGTTGGTATCCACTCTTATGAGACAGGTCACGTACGGTGGCTGTGCTGCCCCTGACTTGTGCCTCACCTGCCTGCACCTGTACCCATTGGGTATCACTATTCACCATGGTACCACCTGACCTGTAATTGTCGTAAGTGGCATTATTGACAAGGAATTTGGTTAGTAAAAGGAATGAATGTGTGATTTAAGAGAAATAGTATTTTTTAAGTATTTCCCTTTGCTTCCACTTTTAATGAAGGAAAGTATCACCAGGAACTTTTCACCTTAAAAGTACTTTGTCATAGTTTGAATATACTGTACAGTATTTACCTTTAGACTAGAATCTGTGTTTGCTATTACAAAAAAGTTCAATTAACAATTTAGCAGTTTAATAAAAGGCTCAAACTTGCCTTATCCATTCACTGACATATGACATGTGATTCTCAAGATTTTTAGTGATTTAATTTTCCAATATACAGGTATGTACACCTCTCAACTTGTAATAATATACGTACAGTAATACAAAATACAAATGCAGTACACTACAGAGTACTCTGGCTTCTTCCTGCACTAGCACTGGCCCCATGGGGATTGCCCGATCACAGAAATATCTATACAGTACTGTACTGACAGTACTGTATATCCAAGTATAGAAATCTTCATTCAGTACAGTATGTACCTAGTAATCAACCTAATATTGCAATTACATGGAAGCAAATGAAACGTTAGATAGAGATCTTAACACTTAGGTGATTTGTGCATATTGAGAGAATGAGAAGCGTTGATTAATAAAAAGAGAGTCTAGTTGAGAGATGATGATGGGAGGGAGGTATAGGGGAGGACCAAGAAGAAATGGAAGGATAGAATGAAGAACCTATTTGACAGAAGACGAAAAGAGATCAACGAAGCAACAACATGTGTGAATGAGTAGAAAGCAGTGTCAATAGATCTTTTGGGGATGAACATTCTGCATCCTTGTGAAAAGCAACAGGGGTAAAGCAGATCTCGGGCCTGGTTAAGGAAGGGGAGTGCCATATAAAACAGAATTCTAATTGCATTAAGAATGGATGAAAGAAAATATACAGAATGCAAAAAGTGTGGTCATATTTGCATATTTCCAGCAACTCTGCATTAAGAAGAAAAAGGATTCAAGAATGAAAGTGTGAGAGTTTATGCTGAAGCATTATATGCAAGAAATTTAAGTTACTTGTGCCTCCGACGGCGATGGCGGTGACGATGATGGTCTGAATCATCAGATTGATGACGATGGCGATGACGACGATGTCCACGAGAAGAGCATTTACTGCTGGCCTCACTCTCTCCGTCTGATGATCGCCCACGACTCCTCCTGTGCCTATACCATATTAAAAGAATTATTACTGATTACAGATTTAAAAATTCAATTAAGGAAATGACAAATATAAATCATGTAAAAAGAAAGTAATTATAATACCCACATTAACCTGATAGTCAATAGGGCCTTCCTCTATTTAGGAGTAAGGTAACTACACAATATCAAGTTCACTAGTGCATGGAGAGTATCGTTATGATTCAAACCAAAATTCTGGTTTAGCAACAATTACCCTGACCTGTGACCCAGAACACCTAATACTGTACCACTGGGAACCTTCCTATCCTTACAGTCAAGGTACCCTATTTAGTGTCAAGTTCATTGCTATACTATATGGAAACTCAAGTTAGGGTTTGGAAATTTAAATTTAACAGATAGACAGACATACCATACCAGGAGTCCAGTTAGAAATTCTTAGGCCAATAAACCTATTCTTGCTGATATGACACCTTATGTATGTACCAAGAGAGCGTATCAAACCTTCAATTGCCTAGTTTATATTATAGATGGGAAAGGGGTGATTTAACAGATGTTTATAAGCACCTCAGGGTATTACTGAGAAAATGAATATACTGTATCTGGAGTGCACAGATGGCTAACCCACTACAGGTTATAACCTCAAGTTAAAGAAGGCATCAGTACAGAATCAGTTGTGATGGCACCAAATGTGAGCTGCAACTAGTCCAGTGCAACAGTGTATGTAATGGAGAACTGACCCACTGCTAAACTGGTTATTAAATTGACAAGTGGCAAAAAGGATGAAATAAATACAGTACAGTACAGTATAACAAAACCTTAGCATACTATGGCAGCCATAGAAGTCCAAAACATAAAATTAAAGAAAAAACTCAATTAATGGCCAAGTCATGACATACAGTAAGTGACAATAGTACTGGAAGCATCATACCAACTAACAAATTGCTAAACTACAGGTATGTTCATCTGTTAGACCAAATCTCCAAATTAACCTTCATTAATTATATTATTAGGAGAATAGCCATATTTACTAAAGTCTCTTCTAAATTGTATATCTTTCAAATTTCAGGGCAAAACTAACCTGCGGTGACCCCGAGAGTCAACGGAAGATTGGCTGTCAACACTGGAAGTCCGTCTAGACACTGCATAGTTGTGTGTGGCCGGGGCAGCAGAGTGAACAGATCTAGGGGATTCTCCTCTAGTTCTGTGATCCCCTTTTCTACCTCCTAGAAGGGTAGCTGTGCCTCCAGAAGTTGTGACACCAGCTGGGTAGGGTGCAGACCGAGTGCTGCGTGGGGAATCACTGCGAGGTGCTAATGTCATGGAAGTGCTGCGATACATGTGTGAGACCCTGTAAACAGATAAAAGGCATAATGATCTTACTAAGACAACTATTATGACAGCATTATACACAAATGGTTAATAATTTGAAAGCATGTTCTTATATTTAGTAATGATTTTCCGAGTGAATGTTGACAGAAGACTCACGTAGAAACAGGTGTGGGAAGCTGGACTGTGTTGCGTGTCTCAGGCTTGACTTCTATATCCTCTACACGGGGGGCTGTGGAAAGTCATTGTATCCATCAATAATTTATAACATTTTAAATTTACTGTATATCATCATGTTGTTTCTTCCACTGTATACTGTATTAAAGAAATAAAAGTAAAAGTTCAGGTGAAATACTGTTCAAATACTTCTTGAATACCTCAGATTATAATATTATATAGTGTACAGTACTATAGTACTCCATTACCTGTACTGAAAGAAGTTTCATTAACATCTTAATCTTCAATAGATACTTAAGACTAGGCTGTTCTGTCGTACATGCAAAAGTATGATTTGTACACATGATTTATGAGAATTTTTTGACATTCATCATACTTCTCCTCCTTGAACCTGTGTGTGCATGACACTGATTGACTTATCTGTATTAGTGAAAAAGTAGTAATTCAAAGACTTGCCTTTAGTTATTATCCAACAACGGAAAGCCTCTGGATGAAAGCACGGGTAAGAGGAGGGGTCGTGTTAAGCATACGATAAAACAATATTTATTAGCAATAAGAAAAAAATAATAGTACATATGTACAGGTTTTATATCCCATGCTAAAAACAGAGGAGTTGTCAGCGTAATCTTCACAAGGAAGCACATTGTACTGTTACATACTGGTCACACAAAGTAGAGGCTTCAATGTTTACTACTATTCAACCTCTAAAACTAGTAATAAAATCTACACACAATGCAATTTAAACCTTAAAATGTAAACACTAGAATGGAAAAATTTACTTCGAGAATGAATTAATAATTTCATTCTCTAAACATCTTTTAATCTTTCCATTTTTAACTTAAAGTACAGCCTAAAAAGGTTACTCTCAGCTAAGTATAACTCTGCAACTGATGATCATAAATAATTACAATTTCCTGTTTTATAACTTTAAAGTACAGTATCAGTTTCCCTCCTGTAATACGGTCACTTATTTAGTCCTTGAAGCACATTTACCAAAACTCTAAGACAATGAGAAAATTTTAAACTCAGTACAGTTCTGCACTCGACAATTGCATATTACACTTGTTTAACTTGAAAACAAACAAAAACTTACTGTCCTGTGCGCCTTCTACAATACGCCGCTGGTACCTCCTGCTGGGAAGCCTAGTAAACTCCGGCTGAGTTCGTGATCCTAGTTTAGCATCTTGAACTGCTTCCTTTTCTGTCCTTCCACTGTAATAACAACTATGTTGAACAAAAGATACTGCTGAAACTGATCACGTCAAGTACTGATCACAGCATACACACAGGAACCATAAATTTCAACATATTCTTTCTTATTAGTCTGTTTAAAAGTGAACCTTAAATATGTAGCTAATTAGGTGAAATTAAAATAATTTATAGGGTACATGTATTTGATAATTCTGTATAAAAAGTAAAAATGGAAAATAGTTTAATTTGAATTGCAATAATGTATGACTAAGGTGGTTAGCGATACAAAGGGGAGTCTTACATATTACTGAGTTAACATACAGTAAGTCCTCATATAACGTTGCCTCAATTAACGTTGTTTTGGTACAACGTAACTACTCTTTAGATACCAATAATTCGGATAACGTCCCGACAACTCTATTTAATGTCGTTTTTACGTCGTCACGGAATACTTTTTATGGTACATCACCCTCTCTCGTCTTGCCGTGCTAAGCTCTCTTGGGAGGAGGAGGCAACTGCAGAGTCTCAGTGACTCACCACCATTCTCCGCTCCCGCCCTCCTCCTCCCCCACCCTCTCCATCCTCCTCCTCCCCTCCTGCCATCCGCCTCCTCCACTTCACTACCCACCACACACTCGCTCCACCACCTCCGCCCATCAGTGAGTACAATACAAAATGATTTAGTTTTATATACAGTATATATATATTATATATATATATATATATATATATATATATATATATATATATATATATATATATATATATATATATATATATATATATATATATATATATATATATATATATATATATATATATATATATATATATATATATATATATATATATACTATTTTCTATAAAAATGCCATTGAATTTCTGTACTGTATATGTAATGTATTTCACGAGGCAAAGGGAGGCTCAGGAACGTAACTCCTGTATTTTATCTATTTCTTATGGAGAAAATTGATTCGCTTAACGTTGTTTCTTATAACGTCGCGTTTTCAGGAACGTAACCATGACATTAAGCGAGGACTTACTGTATTTGAATTTAATAACCACAAGAGCTGAATTTCATGCTATGAACAGTGATATATACTGTATATGACAACAGTCATTTGCAAATTGTTCAAATTTAATCAGTACCTGTAGTAAGGTCCACACAAAGATGTGCGACAGAAAGATCTTACAATGTGATTCTGTACAACAGTGGCAAATAAACATTTTTGGAATCTCTTTTAATGTTAGTAAAATTTTATCTATACTGTACAGTGCAGCACTAATCTAACATGCAAGTTAAGTGCATTTAAAGAACATACATACTCATACACTTTATTTCTCAGTCATGCATCCACGGTGATATCAAATACAGTGATCCCTCGGTTAACGAGCGCTTCGGTTAACAAGATTTCGGTTAACGAGTTACCTTCCATAAGATTCTTAACTTCGGTTAACTAGCAATCCCTCGATTAACGAGTTTATTACGAGCCGACCTCAACATGTTTTTGCTTGCATTTGGCAGTCCACCAGCTGTAGTATTAGTCCACCAATACAGTAATCGGTTTTAGGGCTTAAATTCCTTACTATTTTAGTAAATATCAAGAAGTTTATACTATTCAATAATTTTAAAATTTAATATTAAATTTTTTAGTCATTTTAGCAATTATTGAACATAATTGAAGGTAAGGAAACTAGTTTCATGCGTTTCATCCAACCTGGCAACACACCAAACAGGCGCCAGTCTCTGTCTTTTCAGTGGAGGTAACATCTTGCTTGAGACTCTCTTCAACTAAACGCTTTTTTTCTGTGTTTCCAAGCAAATTACTGGTCATTTTGAAATTTATTTTACATATTGACAATATATAATGCAGTGCAGTGTTGATTTAAAGCAAATAATCTTGAATTACACCAAGAGAACTAAATTTTATGGGTGAAATGGCACCATGGGGTGACTTCTCTTCCACCCCAATACCTTCTCTTCTCCCTTGTCCTCCTCCCCCATTCTAATTACCATCATCATCATCATCATCATCATCCAGGAGCCTTCTACATACACACCTCAAAGTAAGTGTACTTTTCTACCTTTTTTGTTGAATTTAGGCAATTTTCGGTGAGCTGGAACCAATTACCCAAAAACCCATTGAAACAATGGTTTCGGTTAACGAATTTTTCGGTTAACGAGCAACCTGCTGGAACGGATTGTGCTCGTTAACCGAGGGACCACTGTAAACAAAAGTATACAAAAATGCTAATAGTGGAGGAGACGGCTTACACCAGAAGTTGTTCGATTTTGTTCATATTTTCCACAAATGTTGTTTGGATGATAGAGGAGGAAATGAAAATGATACAATAACTTTTTGCTTTAATTTAATTTTTTTAATTGTAATTTTTTTCTCTATTTTCAATACAGTAATAAATCACCTGAACAAGCTGGATGGTCCAATTAAGAAGTTAGGCTAGTTTCTATTAGGTTCTGTGTATTATCGTATAATTTTTATTACTCACTATCATCCAAACAACCTCTTTGGAAAAACTGAATGAAATCGAACAACTGCTTCTGGTGTTAGCCGTCTCCTCCACCATTACCAGAAACACCTAGAATACTTGTATTTATTCATGCACAGATTTTCTCTAAATATTCACTATCAGAAGAGCCATGTACTCACAGGCTTTCACCCCACATAGTAACCACTCCTTGAAGCTCTATAACTCTAGAAGCTGGTTCTCTCCAGCTCTATACACGATTGCTGGGCCTCTCTTAACTCAATGGATCGTACCTGTACCTGAACTTGGAGCCGAGGGAGAAGATGGCAGCTGGAGAGTTGCCTGAGGCCTGCGTCAGCCTGAAGAAGGCATGATGCTCCACACAACACTGCCACAGGTGCTTGCAGGCTGCCTTACTTGGGGTCTCAAACCCATAAGTGTTTTCAGAGTTCTGTGGAAGAGGATGCAGTGGTTAGTAAAGGATAAAGCGAGGGGAAAGGAATCAAAAAGAGAAGAAGGCAGGGAAGATGACAGGATAGAGGGACAGGAACATGGAGAGAATGAATATGTGAAACTGACACACAACAAACTGGACTGGAAGGCCCATGTAAATAACACAGTCAAGGCAGCCTCGTACCGTCTCTACATGCTACGACGACTTAGGTCACTTGGGACACCCACGCCAGAGCTGAGGACTATCTACAACGCCTTTATTCTACCCAAACTAAAGTATGTGTCACCAGCCTGGTCATCTTCTCTTAACTCCACCCAACAACGCCGGCTAGAGAAGGTACAGAAAAGGGCCTACAGAATAATGCTCGGCGCAGAATACTCCGGCTACATCAATGCTCACTCCACCCTGGAAATGCCATCCCTCAGTGACCTCCACCACCAAACACTGGAAATGTTTGGCAGCCAACTAATGCACCACCCTCGTCATCGCCACCTCCTGCCACCGGCAGCCCCCCACCCACCTCGCGCAGTCTGCCACTACAACAAAATTCAACCATAAGAGCCCGCACCGATAGATATAAGAATAGCACCATCCCATCTATTGTTAAAATAATAAACAACTGATTTATGTGCTGTACAGCCCTGTAGATGTATTCAATGCATATTATATCATTGTCTAAATCAAATGTAAGTCTGTATATTTACAGCCACCGGCTGCAACTCTATTAATAAACCGTTTATTATTATTATTATTATTACTACACACACACACACAGCATACATACCATATTGTACATACTCACATACACACACAAACTATAAGATTAACAATATAGTACAGTAAAGTACTGTGCAGTATATACAGGTAGAAACCATCAATACAACTAAAGTAGAAGTACAACTTTTATTCCATAGATACAATCACTTAGGAAATAAACCATTCCAATAAATAAAAATAACCAAGCATTACTCACTTAACAGTATATGAATGAACACCAGTCTACCAACCGGCCAGCAAACTTAAATAAATTCAGTACTTACATTCTTGTCCCTCACACGGAGCATGAAGAACCGACCACGGAAGTACACCTTTGATATTCTTGGCCTGGAAAAACAACACCATAGGTTAGTTGTTATTTAAATCCTTCATTACGACAAAACAACCCACTGGGTATGATACATTGGTATCTTAATCCCTGATCACAATAACGGTTAATTAATAGTAGTGCACCGTTCTTTCTTTGGGTATTAGAAATATGTGTAAAAGAAACATAGAAAATCACCAAAAACAAACCAAACCAAACCAAACCAAACCTAACCTAACCTAATTAGGGGGTCCAGGGAGGCGGAGCCCCTCTGATTAGGTTAGGTTAGATTAGATAGAACGTTGCACTAATATAAAAAGACCACAATAACTTAACCTTATATTTGAGCTTCAAGAACGGTCGAAGAAATGGCTGCTAAAATTCAATGTCACGAAGTGTAATGAAGTGTACCTGAGGCGGACCACCCATAAGGAGGCATATCATATGTCCCAACGGGATGAAGAAACTGTATTAATTGAGACTGAATGTGACAAGGACCTGGGTGTATGTTGAATATGAGCTGACATTCTTGGGCCATTGCGAGAAGAAGGTGAATCAGGCAACTAAATTATTAGGTCTTTAAGAAGGTCATTCAGATATCTAGACGGTCCGTCCCTCGTAACGATATTCAAGAGTGAAGTGCTTCCCCGTCTGGTGTACTGTCACCCCGTCTGGTCCCCGAGATATGCTAGGGACTGTCAGTTGATTTGAAATGTCCAAAGGCGGGCCACCAGACTGGTGCCTTCACTACGGCACCTCAGCTACCCTGAGAGATTAGAGTGCCTGAAATTGCCAAGCTTATACTAGAGACGAGCAAGGGGTGACCCAATTGAGGTGTATAAACATCTCAGGGGGCACTACTCAGTCGAGTGACCTTGCCTAGAGCTGGCGGACGCTCGCCCCACAAGGGGTCACAGCTCAAAGTTGAAGAAGCTGCAAGCCCAGAAAACTGTGAGGGGTAACTTTTTCGGAGTGGGAGTTGTGAACTCTTGGAACAATCTGTTAGAGTGTTGTGACGGCATCGGGCGTGAGCTCTTTCAAGACCAGACTTGACAAGCACTGAAGCAGGTTCAGATACATTCAAGAGCCAATGCATGCCCAGTATGTGCCAACAATGCGTAAAAAAGATGTGACCGATCGCCTAAGCGGCTAATGAGCCTATCAGTGGTGAAGAGGATAAAAGTAAAAAAAAAACAATAAAAAGTTGAATACGTTGCTAGTTGCCAACAGCGCGTAAGAAGAGAGTCAGACAGTAACCAGTACATGCCCACGGTGTCTTAACAGAAACGTAACTGACCTTTCAAGCGGCTAACAACTTAAAAAGGTTTACAGGCTGATCAGTGGCGAAGAGGATAAAATAAAATAGAGTACAATGAAAACTTAACTAAAATAACAGCTATACCTTATACTGTTTACAGCATTAATAAAAAGTAAAGAAGTCCTCCCATGTAATAGTTCCATTTTCTTTTATCGCAACATAGAAAATGGATGTAAATAAACTTTAATGAATGAGTTTAAATACGGGAATTAAATGACTGAATGAGTTTAAAGGTGTTACCGTAGTAGGATCAAAGAGACCAATCGATTATCACTTTAATTAAATGGCTAAGAATACTACTACTAATACATGTTATTTGCGAGGGAAACGTCATAGAAGAAAAATGTCTTAGAATAATTGTCTGATTACAAAGATAAAATTCGATTCGGTTGGTGTCAATAATAATAATAATAATAATAATAATAATAATAATAATAATAATAATAATAATAATTTTAATAATAATAATAATAATAATAATTTTAATAATAATAATAATAATAATAATAATAATAATAATAATAATTTAGAACATGGTTATAATGAAGAAATTAATGTTTGTCGTAGAAATTTTAATAACAAAAAGTACACATAATGGAAGTTTAGTAAATTTTTGCAAAATAAATTTTACGTTATAGATTATTAGCAAATATTTATAAGAATAAATGGATTTCAGGATTATTAGGAAGCCTATTATATTGGTTTGGTTAAGTTTAATTACGATGTTAGGAAAGGTAAATAAGGTTAGATTGATTAGATTAGATTAGATTAGGATAAGTTAAAATTTGGTTAGGTTGTGTGAGGTCCACTCCTATTTCACACATGATGTGGTTTTTTTTTCCATTATATCAATTTTTAATCCAAAGAAAGCCCTTATTATGCACATATACATTATATTAGCTAGGCAACATACATAATTTATGTATACGCCTTAATTATATTTGTAAAATAACTACTAAATGGAGGTAAAATGTTCGCCTATTTATAAAGACTAATTTTACATACATTGACATACCCTTACGTACAATGATATAACCCTTGAATACAATGTACTAACTTTTTTAACGCAATGATCAATTCCCTAGCCTAGTTAGGGGACTAATTCATGCTCAAGGGATTAAAATCCGAGGAATAAATACTAATAACATTAATATTGCTCCGTAATATGATATCGAGGGGACGTCATCAAAACAACAACGGTCTTACGAAATTGATCACATGTGATGGTGAAATACGGACAGAGAATGATAAACGGACAACAAAGGGAGAAAGAATAAACTTGTTTCTGAGCCTGACTTTAGACCTATGGCAGTGATTCAATAAACTTGCATTGAAAACTGTTAAGGCTTTAAGAAACACGCATAAAAACCCCCCTGAAAACCCTGATAAATAAAAAAATGTTTTTGAGTAACTGGTATAAGGTATCAGAAAGATAAAAAACAAAGAAATATTTAGACAGTAAATAAAGTACAAAACAAGGAAATTCGACAACAGGTTAAAGAAGTAGATGAGGGTGATAGACCGGTACTATTGTTTTATGAACAGGACAGTTTTAGTTTATTTCCTCAAAGGAAAGTGGATTATAAAACAGCTATTATAGCCACAAAACTAAGAAGCCATTTGAGGGAATAACCACAAAACAAAATGGATTAAGGAGCTGTTATGAGGCTGTATTCACAAAATAAATGTTCATCCTTTTTCAATGAGCTGTGTCTCACTCCACGGGTACAGATGAAGCCGGCCTCTGATGACCTCGGCCCAGTGATCTTGGCCCAGTTACAGTGGTGCTCTCGGCCCATTTCGGTAATAGGATGTAGGCCGAGGTCACCAATGGTATTAACTGGGCCGAGATCAATGGGCCGAAGTCACCAGGGGCCGACTTCACGGGCACCCTCACTTCACGACAAACGTGAGTGACAGAAATTAACGAACACAGGATGGTATCGAGTTTCAAGTTGGACACTCAAAGGCAATTTTAGTGTTCTCTTACTTGATGTCACTATTACGTGTTAATGGGGCTAAGCTGTATATAACCACCCAAAGTCCACAGAGTGTGTTAATAAAGCGAGCCATAATTATATATATCATTCAGGAAATTGTGAGCTATACTACCACTCTCGAGTGTTCTGACACTACTGTATATGTGCTGCTTGCATGTTAATACACACGCCATGTTTGAGCATAGTTTTTATAATTTATATACTGGTAAAACTACAGGTGAAAAGTAAAATCTATGAATGTATACGTTATAATGAAACTTTAATAAATAAGTTTTCCGTAAATAATGGAGTTACATGGAAATCTATGAAAAAAGATAAAATTTCGATTATCACGGAATTGCGATTCTCAATTCTCGGAGCACTCGGAGAAGTATCAAAAATGAATTTAGTTTATCTGTACTCACTTTCATATTAAATTTTATAGTCCATGCATAATCGTTGTATCTTCATGTTGGTTCGCTCTCTCCAAGATTATCACCAGGTCATAGAATATGTACACAGAATATAATAACCAGTGCCGTGTGGAGGTAACGTAGCTCGACTGCTGTACAGAATAGTTAAATTTAACATATAAAAATCAATCCAGTAAAGCTCATTTAAATATAAGTGAGCAGAAAGCATACGTAAATCAGGGTAATAGTTTTTAACGGTAACGGCCACTGTGAGAAGACACATGCTCTTCACACTTCGTGCAGGTGAGCTTAAAATAATAGCTCATGCTTAAGAAACCTCACAAACAAGTTTCTCTTGTGTAATAGCCACGAGAGGTTATATGTCGTGGTAAATGTTCTTTCTGCCATTTTGACAGGAAATTACTTCTCTAGGATGGGTAGCGGATACACTATTGTATAACTGAGGTCAAGATGGTCATTTTGATACGTATGCTGCCATACTTTAATTGAATATGGCATTCCGCTAGTCCGATTGGCCCGTACGCAGCGTCCGAATGACCGCTGGTAAGAAAGTCTATCCAAGTTGTTTTGTATCACCAAATGGTACCATAAAACCCCTAAAACAATCAAGAGAAAACCGAGTATACGCCATTTTGCCACAGGACCCCCCTCAGACAGTGGACAACGTCACACGAAAAGGGCGTGACCCACCAAACATCACAGGTTTCCTCCAGCACTAACACTGGTGACTAAACAATATAAATAAATAAATAAATAAATAAATTCGGTTTGTGCCGTACGATACAGATCATGGATTGTGTTCAGTATTGTAGGGTAATGTTAAAAAAATATATAGGCGTAAGACTCAGAATCAAAAGAGGAAACAAAATTAAGATATATTCAAATTCTTTGAAAATTACTAGTAGATAAAGAGCACACAAATAAGAATAATATTACCATTCATGTTCAAAATGAAATTCTCATTATATTCATTATCCAAATCCCACCAATCCATAAACACCTGAAGACACTCACGTCTGTGTGGTAAGGCGGCATGGAAGGGGTACTCACCAGAAGTAGTTGCCGACCTTGGCTTTGTTCCGGAGTACAATAACTCCAGATGGTGTGAGGCCCAGGAAGTACTCTATGTTGTCCTCGCCCTGTGGGAAGACAAAAGGCATATAATTAAAAATATATTACAGTAACCTAAAAATATATATTACAGTAGTAATCTAAACATATGCCCTGTTCATCTACTTTAAATTGATATGCTGTATATAGAGATGAACATTACCAATAGTGTGAATACTGCCCGGAGACGCTCATTCAAAAAATGACAAAATAACCTTGGTGTCTCCAAAATTAATACACCACGGGTTTTCTTGTCAAATAGGAATCTTACTTTCTTTGCGAGAAACACAGTGAGATATTTCGTACAGACTACAGTGGATATAAGTATTAATAATACTTTACGTGTTACCTCGGTAAATGTAGACATGTACTGCCAACTAGGAGAGACACCTAGGTATATGGTATAAAGTAGGCAAGTTTGTGTGGGGCTCCAGGAGGGTAGAATACACATGTCAGAATCATCGGTACAACCAGGCTGAACTTATCACACGGGTTGTGGCTGATTGAATTGAATTGAAACAGTGCGCATGTTAGCAGTAGGTTACGCTTGGGGTGTTGTACCTTCCACTAGCAGTCACCACCCTCCGAGATGAAGCCTTCTGGAAGCTCTTCTGGTTACATTTTCTTTCTTCATTTTCCAAGGTAAAGGGCCTCATCCGTCTCTCCCTCCCTAGCTTACGAAAACTGTTGCCTCACGCAGGTATTGTTATTACGTCCAAACTGCATACTTGGCTATCGTTTCATAACAATTAAGGAATTATAAGATGTTTTCGGACTCCAACAAATACAAGTTATCCTGTAAAAGCGGATACGTGTGTTTAAGAAAGTAAATGACGAGTCGTAATATTCAGTCGTGTACAATTGTGTTTATATGAACCTGTAAGAACACGCACGAGTCATCATCTTTCTTGTCTTACGAACAGCTGCAAGTTCTTCAAGGATTTCTCAAACATCAGAGTAAATCGGATGACGACGTAACAAACATTTTATGAAGAGCGACCATGGGTTAAATTAATCCTTATACTATAACTATTAAACCGAACTGACACACACACACAGAGTAACAACCTCTTCTACGATAACGGTATTAACCACATACTGTATTTTAAGAACATAAGAATTCTCTCATTATCTTACCAAGCTGAGATTTCTAAGGCTAAAATATTATCGTTTGTTCAAGTGGTGTTTATCAGTATCATTTGTATTCAGGAGGTTTTCCCTGGGATATTAAGTATTATCATCTATAATTATATATAACCTGAGGGAATTAATGTTATACAGTTATCTTTTCCCTTAAGGTATTCATTCAACAGGAAATTATCGCTGGAATTATATAAATGTTAAGTATGCAAATGCCTGAATGTCCAAATAAGCAAGAATGAATTACTGATTATAGTGTTAATATATGAGGTAATTACACTGTCTAATACTACAGTACACCTCACGACACAGGCATTGGTAAACTCTCACAAGATTGTTGATATTGTTGCCATACTTGTTGACAGTTGTTTGTGCCTGAGGGTATTGGTTGGGTGAGCCACTCTGAGAAGTATTGGTGTGTCTCATTAAGTGTATACTGCGGTGAATAACGTTTAATGAGAAATGTTTATCGCTCCTGGAAATTTGTCTCTAACACACACACAGGAAGAGTGTACCCTCCTCTCGTAGTGTGAGTTGAGCCCCTGGAGAGGAAACCGTGATGGGTGAAACATGAGGTCCCGCGGGTGTGTACAAGTGACGTAATTTGCTCCCCACTTGCCATCTTCCTTTATTACCCATATTATCACCTCCTTCCCCTGCCACATTATAATCTGCTTTCTTACATAAATACCATCATATGAATAAAATCTTAACTGTAGTGTAGATGGAGGTGTAATAGAGGCAGGTAATCCCAGGGATGATAAATTTTAAAAATAAAGGGAAGATGTGAGTGAGTGAGTGAGTGAGTGAGTGAGTGAGTGAGATAATTGTTTCACCTGTGGCGGGAGAGCCTTGAGGGATAATTAGTGGCATCACAGGTCACCTGGTCACTCAGACCCTGACATGGGAAGTTCTTAATCACATAACGGCGCACCACAACGACAAATAATTATCATTACTTGGAGTCTTAAAGTAAAGGTATTAGAATATTGTGTCAAGTTCAAGAGCATACAATATATGGGAGGATAAAGGAATATATACGATAATACCACCTGCCTAATACACTACCTGTACAGTTATTTCTCGGGTTTAGTTGACTTGAATTCATGGTAAACAACGAATATATATGCTATAATAAATTTAATAACAACTGTATTATATTCATACTAAAATCAAATCTATTATAAATTGTATTGTAGTCTGTATTAAAATGGAAGGTATAACTTGAAGGAGTAACATCCATAAAGCTGTAAACGTGATCTCTGAGTCGACACGTCTGGCCTCCTCACCACTACGGTCTTTCCAACAGTTCATCTCCCACCTGTCGATAATGAAGGACCTCTTTGGTATCCTACGTGACCAATCCTACCACAATTATCTCGTATCGGGATGTGTTACCTGTTGCCCTAACCACCCTATGCCTCTTCCGAGAAAAGATCTATTGTATAGTCTCGTTCAAGATTCTTCGAACACTGTGTCAATGTGAACTAGTTTACTGGGTGTTTTAATATCTACCTATCTGTCTAGTCGTTACGTATATATAGTAATTCTTTCAGTTACCGAGTGTTTTTGTTGCTTTTTATAAATGTTGCTTGAAGAGCTACAAAATGTTTGCATTCTCTCACACGGACACTTAAAAAAAATCACTTTCTCTGCTGATTTTGGTTCGAGGTAATAACCAATATTTACAGTTAGTGAGTAAAAACTATGGTATTTGTGTATTCAAATAAATAAATATATTAAAACAATAATATAGACCATACCATAACTTATAACAACCACAAATACAATAATTATCCCGATCATGTCTCAGTTTACTTCGTGCATGATAAAAACATACAATTTCCTGTCATCAACGACCTCCTGAACGACTACTTACAAAATAAAAACGCGAAAACTGAGGCGATGATGAGTCCGTAATTCGCCCAAAACCGACCTCAAGATCAACGGCGTATGTTCCAGTCTTCAACAACCACTACTCCAACACTCATCGTCACCACTCCTCAGATTATAAATGTCTTGCATGATAAAAATATACTATTACGCGTTATTAACTCTGTCAACGACTACTTACAAGATAAAGACGTGAAAACTGAGAAGTCGAATCAAAACCCGCCAATACACGCAACCTTTAGCGAGAATGGCTACAATAACGCGCCATCTGTCGGGAACTTGGCTAATCTGGAGGGCAATCTCGCCATTACGGGTCTCGGGCAGCCACCAGCCTCAGGATAGGACAGGGAGGGAGGGGAAGGAGAGGGGGGAGGGGAAGGAGAGGGGGGGGAGGAGGAGGAGACGAAGGGAGGGATGGAAAGAGAAGAGGGAGAAGGTAGAGAGAGTGGAGGAGGAAACAAGTAGACAAGGCAGATAGAAGGGGAGGAAAACTGGATGGAGGGAGAGAAAGGGAGGTGAAGCAGAAAAGGAGATGATAGAGTAGAGAGTAGGTAGGAAATAGGTAGAAGATGGAGGGGGAAAGAAGAGGAGGAGGAAGAAGTAGGGGAGATATAAGAGAGAGAAAGAGGGAGAGTAAAAAACAAGGGAGGGAGGATGGAAGAGGAGCGGAAAACACAATATATAAACCAACTATAAAAGGAGACAAGAAAAAAAAATCTTCAAAATAAAATAAATAATATATAAAATCCAATAAACTAAAAAACAAAATAAAAAATATTATACCATAAACGAGGCCAAAACAAAAGTACCTTAAAACAAAAGTACCTTAAAACAAAAGTACCTTAAAACAAAAGTACCTTAAAACAAAAGTACCTTAAAACAAAAGTACCTTAAAACAAAAAAATAACAAGACCTTAAACGAGACAAACTAAAAATAACCTAAAACATAAATAAAAAATAATAAAAAAAATGACTCATTAACTCCCCTTAAAACCAGGATACAATTAAAGTCACTTAAATGTCCTACAAAACAGGGCCCTTAAACCATACCCTAAAATAAAGACAATGAAAGGCCTAATTGCCATAATATGAGCCATTTCCTGAGTGTCCTGGGGTGAGGGGGTGAGGGGGTGAGTGGGTGAGGGGTAAGGAGGGGTAAGGAGGGGTGAGGGGTAGCCTCTCTCCCTCTCCAACAACCATTGATTAACATTCCCTACGATGGGGAGGGAGAGAGAAGGAGAGTGAGATAGACAAGAGGAGAGGGACTGATAGGGAGAGGGAGTGAGAAGATGAGAAGGTGAAGAGGGAAATGAGATGAGAGGAGACTAGATGGTGATAGGGAGAAAGGAACAGAGATAGGGAAAGGGGGTGAAGAGAGGGATGAAGGAAAATGAGAGGAGGAGAGTGGGAGGGAGGTGAGAGAGGGTAAATCTTCTTGGAGGGAAGATCCTACAGGAGAGGGGCGGTGAGAGGAGTCAAGATCCCACAGGAGAGGTGACGGTGAGAGGGGTCAAGCTCCTACATGAGAGGGGCGGTGAGAGGGGTAGAGGTGGGTGGCTTATCACAAATCAAAAGGCGATAAAGACCTGATTGGAACCTTTATTCAGTCAGTTCTATAACCCTGATCCTCTTAAGATTATGGGACCGTTTTCAGGGTTTAGGGGTGGTAGTGGCCTGGAGTGTGGGGGTGGTAGTGGCCTGGGGTGTGGGGGTGGTAGTGGCCTGGGGTGTGGGGATGGTAGTGGCCTGGGGTGTGGGGGTGGTAGTGGGTAGGGGTGTAGACCTTCTTGGGAGCTGGGGATGAGGGAGTGAACTAGAGACAGTTGCTTCCAGTGTCGGTTTTATAAATTAAACGATGCGTTAATTTTATTATGTGACTCGGGTGTTGGAATGAGGAAGAGGAGGCTTGAGTATGCTGTGTGTGGAGGTAGGGAGTCTGAGAGGAGTATGCTTAGGTATGTTGATAATAATTATTTATAGCATGCTGAGATTTTGT